CTTCTATTCAACGAAAGGAGACTGCGACCACACAAAAGGCCACACCATCTTGGTCTTTATACCTTCGAGGTGGATGTTATGTTGGTGAGACATGCCGACCTATTCGACAAAGATTAATAGAACACAAAAATGCTTGCAGAGGTAGCTGGATTCAACGATCAGAAGTGGCCGAACATATGGTAGATACATGACATGAAATAAAATGGTATTAAACTAGTAGGTTTGCTGATTACGGTATGTCTGTCTTTAAAAGAAAGATAAGAGAAGCTATTGAAATTAATAGCTTAGGAAATACATTAAATGTGAGGAACGGAAGTAGAAAGTTGAGTAGGAATTGCTTATGCTTGATTGATAGATTGAATGAGAGAGAAAGCTCACAGAACATATGGTCAATTTTTTGCAGGTTACAGGGAATTCAGGTCAAAGCGTGAAATTAGGGAGTCTATAGAAATTAGAAAAACAGTCAACGTCCTGAATAAAAGAAACGAGTGTAGGAAGCAAAGTAGGAACTTTTTGTTTCTGTTGGATAGACTTAATGAAAGGGAGAGAGATAGGGTGCAGGAAGAACCACTTAGCATGATAAGGAGTTAAGGGTTTCTGTCGAGTCCCTAACAATTCATTGTATGTGGTAGTGTAATCCAGACAGCATCTTTTTTTCTACATAGCTCAACCTATGCATACCTGTCACAGCTCCTGTCTGCTCCCCACACCATTTGGTCGTTACCACCTAGTTTCGATGATGCTTTTCACTCTCTTATTCTTGGGTGTTATTTCTACATTTCTATCAATTAAAGAGGCGACTTCTAATTTATTTTTGCTCATAGTCTCTTCCGGAAGATGGAGTGTAAAATATTCTATCATATCCGGCTGCTATGAGTATGCAAAATTCTTGGTTATGTAGAGGTAATTTAAGAAGTAAAAATAGCCTCAAACCCTTGTTTGTTTTGAATCTGCACCAAGATATGCACTACAATCGTTAACTAACAAACGAAAGTAGATACGAAGAGAAACTGGATTTTGATTAATCTCTTGAGATAACATTGTTAGGGGGACTTTAATTTCGTATGAAAGTGAATGAAGAAGGGATTCGTTGGTCAATTGCACCAGATGAGGACGGATGAATTTCGTTGTACTGCAGCCGTTTGGGCTTTTCTACGATATTCATGTTAATGCAGTCCACAAGACTTCCTCCCTCATTTCGGGTATATGTATGTGAGACCTTTGACAAATTCATAAAAGACTATGCGAACACAAAACCGCTTGTAAAGCTCTGTGGGTCCAAGAATCTGAGCGTCAACATGAATATCATACAAAAGCCAAACGGCTACAGTACAACAAGATTCATCCGTCCTTATCTGGTGAGATCGACCAACGAATCACTTCTTGATTCACTTTCATAAAAAATAAAAGTCCCCTTAACAAACGAAAGTAACCTCACATATAAAACCAGACAGCGTAACCGAGTGAAAAGTGATACGTCCCACAATTTTGAAAGCTAATACATGCTGACTCACAAGTACATCCAGGCATGATAGAAATTAATATTTCGGATCTGGAAATAAATACACAGGAAGGTTTACGAGCCGAACGATCACTTACCCAAATGAGTTTGCTTTCACAAACCTAATGTTGTGCAGGAAACTCCATTAGCACAATAGATTCAATGAAGTTGAACCACTGTAACAATGTAGAACTATCGACCCGTACACTTTCACTGAAAATACAGCCCAATCTAGTTAAAAACGAAAATCCCCAGATTGCTGGATGCCCACGGATAATATGAGAAGGAAAACATTTTGCACACAAATGTTTTATTTACTCTAAAAAGATATTTATTTACAACTACGCAAATTCAAGACTCAAGCACTGATGCCAAGAGAAAAACACATTAACTTCGATCTCGCATTTGCATCAGCAAGAACATGAATGATTGAGCCATAGAAGCAGTAGATTATTATTTTACGGTTCATTTTCCTTACCAAAGTGTAAAGGACCAATGAACCTCTGGCCAATTAAAAGTAACCCAAGGCCCTAAACGGTTGAGCTACGCCGAAGAGCTGCTTTTGATGTCGCATCAGCAGCTCATGAAATAGGCTGATAAATTTATCAGAGTAGGGCTGGTGTCAATTCCGACCTGAATTGTTCGGACAAATCTCTATTGATAGAATATATCAACCGACATTGTGTTGCAGGCAATTATGTGAAGTAGACTTATGTCGACAGAAACTCGAGATCAATCTGGCTCTCAGCTTATCAAGGCAGCGCAGCATGCTTATTAAAAAGAGATAGCAAAAGAGATAGGCACAAGCCATAAGGACAGGGAGAAAAAGACCGATCCTCCTATAGGCCAACAAACTACTAGGTAGCATTGCCAGGCCCATAAGCGCTGTACTTGCCGAGGTTGTTCTGACAGCATAACCCAGACCTAAGGTAGCCGATTTGAGCAGGTCATCAGACCAAGCGCAACAGGACAGATTCTCGTTGGAAGACATTTGGCGGCAAGTATAGATGTGGCTGATAGTATCGAATTTATTAATATCGTTTGCTTCCGATATAATAATACTTTCAACATTTTGGCCGAGCGATGTGATTTCAGTTTGGTGTATAGGCAAGTCATTAGCATCGTCGATTTTAGCCATTTCATAAGCAGGACGGTCAGTCATCGCTAGACAAGAGTGTTTCCTTAGCTTCGCTGCACTATTACTTTGAATATCGTCGGTCTTCTGAAGAAGAGAAACCACCTCAGAAGTTGAGAGTACATGAATTGGTGGGTTTGCTTCCGTGTTATCCCGTCTAGGAGAGGGCGATATAGTTGTAACTGGGTTGTGAAAAGGAATGTCATCAGGGGTATGAAGAGTAAAATTCGTTTGAATGCTCTTACAAAAGCAAAAGGATGGTGGGGGAAAAAAAGTGTTTGAACCTCTTCGGCAAGAATGCCGACTGGGCCCATATGCGCCTATGTTAGTAGATCGCTCGACTCGTTTGATACAAGAAAAAGACATACATGAGTCAGTCGCGAAACAGTTACAGCAGGCATGATTGGGAGATCCTGAAAAAGTAGTGCATTGTTGAGCATTGGGTAAGCGTTGCTCGTCTGAAGTCACAGTACCTGGACGTTTGGCATGAGCTAGACCGACGACCAGATGTATGCAGGGATCAATTGCCAAACCAGCTGCCAAGCTCAACACGACAGCCTCCGTGATCCCTGTACGCCATGAATCCAAAATGCAACATAGTGCTAGTGCAGTAGTTAACCCACCGGTTAGACAAACACCAGCCAACCCAGCCAGAAGACAGGCTGAAGCCGTCTTGGAACTGGGGGTACTCCAGGAAGCTGAGACTACGGCCAGAAAGACAACTCCAGCAGCAATAATGGCGGGTAGGACAAGGCAAATGAATATGAAATGTGGTCCTGCAAGGCTGGATATGAGATCCAGCAACATGAGATCTCGACTAACCATGAAACCACGCCTTAGTCCGGCGGGTGCAGAGGCCAGAGACTCATTCAACCAGATCTCAAGGCGCGTGTAGGCTTTGGCCAATTCACTAGAGCCGGATGAAAAGGATGAGAGGTTAATTTGGGTTGAAATCACTAATCCATAAGGATTGGATGCCATTTTATTGTTGTCTCCGGTGGGAATCTTAGGAAATGAAAAGAGATATCCGGAATCAAGATGTCGCAGACAAGCAAGGAAAGTAGCATTTTCGGCTGTCAAGAAGTCAATAGGACGGGCCTTACTGAGGCAACACGGAGATCTGAACAGTGTATGGCTGCTAGAAGGGATACATGCAAGCGAAGTAAGGCGAGCCAAAGGGCAATGAGCATGAGTAGTGTAGGCAATGTGCGGTGCACGATGCAATCGGTTGCAGAATCGAATTACAAAGCGTCGAGATTCAGTGGAGACGAAGTCGGATTGGGTGTCCTGGTCAATGCCGAGCCGGCTGTTTGAAAACGGATAATACAGTGGTTTGAACCACCAGTTGCCAAAACCTAAGGACATACTTTTAAGTCCCCAAATAAAATAAACAGACTCCGTATGTTTGAGGCGAGTCCGGTCGAAGAAAAACCAAGGACGCTGGGAAAGAAATATCTGCTGAGGACTGCAGGAACGGTATAAAGTTATAGGCATCAAGGCGCCGGAGATAGGTTGTGAGAACCTATGTGGGGAGAAGATGAGGAGATAGAGGGATGCAATGAATATTCCAAAGCAAGAAATAACTATCAAGAGACTGGGCAGTACTGCGGTAAACTTAGAGAACCGAAACCTTAGGAATAAGGGAAGATAGCTGGTGGCCCATTTTGGACAGTGGAAACAAGATGATAAGTGAAAAAGACAATATCGGTGGAAATTAAGAAAATATGAACACGACTTTTTTAATTGTCGTAGAATGGATGCAGCAGAAAATGAACAATAACCAAAGGAAGGGCAAGTTCTTATTAGCCAATTGGAGCATTTGGTAGAGAAAAAGCGGTTCCTGGTGGCAAGAGCAAGGGGAACAATAGTAAGTGTATAGAAAAAACAGCAAGTTATAAGGAGAATAGAAAATGCAGCGAATCGGCGGATGGCTAACACTGGTGATGCCAAACTAGGAAGAAGACCAGCTGCAGCGCTGAGGCTGGTCCAGAAAAGAGAAGGCAGTCCGTGCGAAAGGCTGATATGAAGACGAGCAGCAAGAAGAGTTGTGAGGCAATTGCTACAGCGATCTCCAAGACCGAAAAAATAATAAGAATAAATAAGAGAATATGGAAAGAAAAGTTCGGTTTCAAGGAATCTCTTGGTTCATAATTGTTTAACTCACACCCAGTTCCAGTGAAATTATTTGGTGAAGAGATTCGAAGGTTGATCCAACCAGAATACGACGGTGGATTCAGTGAAATAAAAATAGTTTTCAGGAAAACTATAAAACTTTCTTCAGTCATGCCGACTATGAGAGAAATTTAACCCATTTGGTTGCAATAAAATAATGTGTTCATGTCGTTGCTTTTATGTTGGAGAGACTTGTCATCCCATTCAACAAGGGGTGGTAAAACACATAAGCGCTTGAGGCAGTTGAGTTCCAAAATCTGAGCTAGCCGAGCACACAGCAGAAACTGGACATGAGATTTAAAGGTCTCAAAATTCTCGTTTTTCTGATTATATGTCTACGGCTAAACGCAAAATTAGGGAACCCTTCAAAATAAACTGAATAGACAATACATTGAATGTAAGGAATACCGGTAAGAAGTAAAAACTACTACTACAAGAATAAAGAGGATGCAGGATCGCATGCAAGGAGGCTACTCAACTAGTCTTTTATTTTCATGCAAAGAAAAGTTAGGTTTCAAGAAATCTCTTGTTTCACAATTGTGGAGCTTACTTCCATTTCGAGTGAAAGTGCTTGGTGAAGAGATTCGAAGGTCGATTCCACCAGAAGACGACGACGGATTCCTCTTGATCAGCTGTCGATTGGCTTTACTGGAACAATCATGGTGACGCTGTTTCCGAAGTAATCCCTTTCGATTCCGGTGAAAATATTCTAAGCTTTCGCCCGTCATATGACGAACATCATCAGAGCAAGGTATCATCCTCACAACCAAATTCAAGCTAACGAGTCGAAAAAACTCACCGGCAATTCCCTAAAAAGTGGTATATATACTCTTCATCTGGCCTCTTTGATCAGGTATAAAGTGATTTGATTAGTTACAGTCATTTGTCAACCTCGAAGCCTGTGATTGTATCCGTCTCTCTATTCGCATGTACCTGTTTGTGTTCGCTTATGCATGAAACCCGCAGTAATTACTCAAAGTAATTAGAACAGCAAAGGTAACGTCTG